ATATTCAAGTTTAATTTATAAATATTTATAATAAATAAAAATTTAAAAAAATCGCTAAAACTTTTTTTATCGAAAAAAGCCCCTAAAAAATTCTCACATATATATATATATATATATAATATATAATTAATATATAAGGATTGATATCACCTCCAATTCCAAAATATGTAGCGACTTTCTTGGAATTTCTTTTATTATTCTTTTTTGGAGGTTTCATGAATGGAAAAACAACAGTTCCTAATTAATAATTAATATATGTTTGAATATCAGTTTAGAATATATTTAACGAAAAAACACATTTTGATGCAAGAAAAATAAAGACATGTGAATATAATTCTTGTTATCATGTACTTATCCTAGGATGTACTTGGTGTTCATCACTTCCTTGACTTTTGCCGATTGCCACTGATAGTGATAAGAAGCCCTCCATCCCGCCACAGACGCGGAAGTGTTAGTTTTTTAACAAATACGCGTCATATTAGCCTCTCTCTTTTTTTTTTTCTCTCCATATTATTACACACTTTTAAAGTGAAATGATTTATATATTATTCGTATATTCGTTCAGTAGGCATGATTTTAACGTGGAATGGAAGAAATGAGAGAGGATTTGGGCAATTCAAAAAGATATATAAGGTTTGTTTGGGAAATCTAATTCTTAGATTCTAAATGTGGCAAAATAAAAAAAACTCCCCTTATAAATTTTTATTTTTCTTGTATTGGCATATGTATTTTTTTTATTCAAATATACATATATTATTGTTTGAGACAGTGATTTATGTAGATTTAAATATAAGATAAAACTTAAATACTATTACTTAGATGTAGACGGAATTATTATCTTATTAAAGAACAATAAAAATCGCACGTATGAATATTATATAAATTTTGTCCTTAATTAAAGATATAAATGAGAGTGAGTTCTAGAAATGACAAATACATCCGTACTTGCAGGTAGGGACGGATGCATTCATATCACTGTGAGGGCAGTTGTCCCTACTAAAATTTTACACTTATTTATTTTTATATATATTATTTACTTTTTATAATATATATAAAAAGTATATTTTAATTTATTACAAAAAATTGTTAAATAATGACACACATTTTATAGAGATATAATACTTATTATGAAAATTGTTTTTACATATACTACAGATATAATATATGTTAAAATATTATTAAAAAATTGTAAATATAGATTATAATAACACTTTTTGTAAATGATTATATGTAATATTTTTTGCAATGATTATTTTTATATCTAATATGTTAAAATATATTAATATTGTATTTATATTTTATTTTATAGTGTAATTTTTTTATTTTATGACAAAATTGTCTTAACTTTTTATTATTATTATTATTATTATGATAATATATTTTATTTTTTTACTGAAAAATTTATTACTTCTTTATTCATTAAAGATGTCATAATTTAATTTAAAAATATAGGTTATTTTTCAATTTTTATTTTAATTTTTAATCCTTTTGATTTTGTATATGTACATTATGTGTTGGTAGAAGATGATCCAAATTAAGAAGAATGAGAGTAATTATCACACAAAATTTTTATTTATTTTTTACTTAAACATATTTAATAAAAAATAGGCGTTGTTCTCATAAAATACTTTTGTTTTAAATGAACGTAAAGATTTAGAAAAGATACAAAAGAAAATAAATAATAATTATATTATCTTTATCTTAATAATTTATACCATTTTGTTCCTCTAAAATTAAATAAATCGCTAAAAGTTACAACATCACACTTAAATATAATATCAGACAAAGAAAAAATGAACAATTGTCACTCTACTTATGAGAAAATTTTAATTTATAAAAAATAGGTATATTAAATTTTTATCACAAAAGTATACTTTTTAAAAAATTATTATATTTTTAATAAAAAATTATAAAATATTTTATTGCCCCCACTTAACAATTTTTCTGGATCTGTCACTGCTTGCAGGTAATACCCGAACCCGTCCCGACTTTGACGGGGAATACCCGGTTTGACCGGGTACGGGTACAGATACGGATACGAGTAAACCCTGATATATTAAATCAGGTACGAGTACGGGTATGTACTTACCCGCCCCGTACCCGTACCCGTATCTGTTCTCATTTTTAATTTAATACTTACTTTCAATTTAATTATATTAAAAAAATTAATATTTTTTTATGTGTGATTATTTATTATAATATGAGATAAAGAAATAACCTAATTATAATTATAATATAATAAAAAAATATCATTTTTTTTACAAAAAATAAAAAAATAAAAAAATTGACGGTACGGGTACGGGTATACTCGATACTCGACGGGGACCGGGATGAAGATGAAAATCTATACCCGACGGGTATGAGGACGGGGACGGGGATGGTTTTAACTCACGGGGACGGGAACATGTATCATGAAACTCGTACCCGATCCACTCCGTTGCCATCCCTAGTGAGTCCTACTCAAAAACAAATTATCAATTAACATTTGATAATTAGTGTGAAATTTCATAAAACAATAAGAAAATGCATTATTTATACATCACTCATTTTTTAACCTTATTCATTAAAATACACGTTTTATATAGTGATTATGTATAATATAATTGACTATGTAAAGATTATAATAACAAATAATAATATATAATTGATTAATCGAATATATATATCTTTTGAATAAATAATTTAAAATAATAATAATAGTAAATTAGTAAAAAAAATTAATAATTTCTTTTTATATAAATATTTAATTATACAAAATATAACTTTAAAAATATTAATTTTGATTTCTCGTATAGTTACACTCTACAAAACAACTAAAAAATTCACACAAAGTTTTTATTTATTTTTATCAAATTATTTCTCACTTATTTCTTTTCTTTCTTTTTATTCCTTCTCCTCTCTAAAACAAAGTATTAT